ACTCTGAACATCTGCTTTAAATTGTGCATATACTGCTGTTAATATGTTCAATTGCACCGGTAGGGACGTCATACATTGTTTTCCGTATTTTTCCCGTAAACTTTGGATCGTACAGGAGCGCTTCTTTGGGCAGTTTTTATGTACTCCCAACGAGGAATCTAGCTGTGCAGAGTTTATGCGGTCGTTTTCGGACACCCTGTTATACATAATGTATGCAGTAAAAAAGCGTAAATAAAACTAAACAATTGTGACTTATTAACTACAATTAATTGGTAAATTGTTTAACATTTTACATTAATTTTGTCATTTTTATATTATGTATATTATTTAACATTATTTTACTAGTTATGTAAGAATTTTAAGCTAAGTTTTATTTTATTTTAAATCTTTACCATCATCTCTTAATTTCCACTTCCGGCCAGAATAAACGCGTTAACTTGTTTATGCAAATTGTACTTGTTGCCAAGAGCGGAGTTAGATGGGAAGAGTGTGAGACTTCTTGCGACTATACTTCACGCGAGCTCCTATCTGTCCGCCTTTAAGGCTAGAGTTTTTATTCCTCTCGAAAGCTAAAGACGTGTTGTAGTTTTCCGCAGTTTGCGTACTCATACATAATAATTCAAAAAGCCAGTCTTAGTGTTAGTCATTTGTGTAAAGTATTCAAAGTTAGCTTTTACTTAAATTCTAGTTAGTCAGTAGTTCTTATATTTTACGTTCAGACCACAAGTGGTTGGTCTTTGTTTCCCGAAGTGCGGGAACGCCTGTAATATGGTGGAAAATAAAGGGTAATTTAAACCTTTCTCATCTTGTAATCTCCTTGCTACACTACATAGAACATAGTTTGTAATCAGTTTACATAGTTCGTAAAAAATTTACTTTAATAAAAAAAAATTCACAAACTCTCACTAAGTTTTGTTTATTCTATTTTTAGAAAAGAAGCACTTACCATGACTAAGGACCCCCCGGGGGTCGACGTAGAGAGCTCTGCGAAGCTACTGGTTAGGATCTGTACCTAGGCAGTCTCGGCCACGGGGGTATAAAATTTATGAACTTGGTGGTTCTGCAGGCTCACTTAAGGGAAAGGTCACTTATTGGCCGGCCTCGGAGTCTGACACGTCCTAGCGCGGCGTGGTTCTAGTAACCCGGGGGTCTCCCCCGGGGTCGCTGGGTAATGTCCCGCTGCACACCCTATAATTGCGTATAAATGCATTATTTGTAAAATACTATAAAATTAATTGCATAAATTATCCTCAACGGCACTCTACAATGTACCATCTGCTCATGTATATAAATGTGCCATGTACCTATTGATTATGATCGAATGATATAAGCATTGTAATAGGTATAGCATTGTAAATAAGAAACAGTTATAGCATTGTAAATAGGAAGCTGTACCCATGCACCCGCATACATTTCTACTAACGTGACACAGTAACGCAAAACATCACGTAGTGTCCTATTATGAAATAAATAGCACCTATTACTAGTTTATAAGATTATTTTATGGATCTAGAGTTCAGTATATGAATAGTACAAATGTTTATGTCACCAATGACTATTGTGTACCAAATATAAGCGTATACACGCTTTTTGTCTATATGTAATTGTGTATGTCCTTGTTTATATGTAATGTACCCATGTATCTACTAGTGTTATCACATATCTTGGCACTGTGTATAGTTAATATACACTATACGCACTGAATAATCATGTACCTAATGTGTCTGTATATATGTATAAATTTATGTTCTGTATATATGATAATGTAACTATGCATCTGCACATTTATCCTGTAAACGGCCCGTATCGCAAAGAACTAACTAGAGCCCACTCTAAAAATTAATTGCACCAAGACACTGTACTACACAGTATAATCTAGGTCTAACTTTTAATTCACTGTACTAATTACTTTTCCAGCATAACATTGCCCACCTAATATTTCAGTATTACATGTCTTCTGTTATCTAATGATAATGCTTCAAAGGGTCATAGTGAACTCAACATATGAGTACACACGTTAGTATATATGCTATCGTATCCATGCTTTTGCATACACGTTGTAACTGGCAATGTTTATCCAGTGTCTAACATTAATAGCTTTAACGCCACTGTATGAAGTACCAAATTTGTATGTATTTATTATTAGTTATTAGCACAATGAACACGTATGATTATCTAGATAAAGGTGGACGTGGCGCTATACCGATTAACCGTATTGGTAGAGGGGTGGTGCCCACGTCCTCCGTCGCATGTCGCATGCGACTGGTAGGAGCATTAGACGACCGGTGCTGCCTGGTGTCTTATCCAGGTGGTGCGCTGCTCTCCTGGAGGGTAATAGTGGAGGTTGAACCTCCACGATGTGCCCGAAGGGGGAGTAGACCTGTAGTGGGCTTAGTTCCCGGAACAGGGAAGCCAAAAACTTACTTACTTACTTACCATGACTAAGAAAATTATTCGCGGTGTTAACAGAAAACAGTGTGCTTATATACAGTACGTAACTCCTTATCCAATCAAGCACATAGGGTACATTCTTGCTCCAAATTATAGGCTAATCTATGCATTATACACTTTCATCAGAATTAATTAAATTGCATTATACTGAACCCTCAACTAGAATCAAAATTTAAATTACTCCTATTTGCATCATTTATTTAAGGAACAATATTAAAACGCCAGGAAATTAACAGTAAAAAATAATTTCACTTAGCTTAGAAAAAGATTTTATCCAAGAGCAAGCCTTGAAAAAGATTTTTCCCACGAGCAATGTGAATACAAATCAATTTGTCATAAGCAATTCTCTCGCTTAGTATTGTATCGCTTCCATTAAGCACATAATCTTCGTGTACTTTGCCACACCCAAAAAAACCTAGCGTCCACTACTGACTCCTTGATAAAGAATTAGCAATAGCAAAGATATTATATTTCTAATTAATAGCATTAGAATTTTGTTTAGTTATTATTTTAGTCTTGCCTTTTATAATACATTTAAAAATTTTCAAGTTCAATTATAAACATTCAGAGTAATGGAAGTTCTTTTTCTTACAGTAAATAATGACACTGCAAAAGAAATTAGGCTTCTTGTATGCAATTTCCTTACGTGTTCGTAACATGTTTTAAATCAATGAACTTCTGAAACGAGAGCAATAAAACTACAGATATTTCGGGAATTATTTTAATATTTCCTAGTTTTTATTTACAAGTAACATACATCCGTTAACTTATTCTAATCGTTTTTCAAATGAATACATCGGATTTTGCGAAAATATAAGAAGAACATATATTTATATTTTCCATTTTCGTTACCTATTTTTTTGCAAAATAATCTGTTTGGAAAATATTTTTTTCTTTACAAAGCTCAGACAGAAAAATAGCTTTATTTTATAAATAATCTGATGATAATCCGCAATTACTATTCCAATAATTATAAACTGGAAATAATATTCATCACGTGCGATGTTAACTTGCAAAGAATCAAAATAATAAGAAAAAGAAAACTATGCTAAATTTAAGAGATTAAAACAGAATCAACTGCCGATAAGATAATTCCGATGATGATGTACTCAATTAACTTAGTGTATTATAACTAATTAGGGGGCAGTTTCATATCACAGTAAAGAGGAATAACCTACATTCAAATTAACAGAAAAATTCAACTAACAACCTACGCGTATTCTCAAGTAGTTTAATCTAGAGCAGCGGCCGTCAACCCTTAGAACTTCACGGACCACTACATATATAATTTTATATTTGGCGGACCATTAATATGAATTTAAAAAAAAGGTAACTACATTTACACAGTAATAATCAGCAAACTACACATATTTCGTTCACATTGAAAAATTACATGTAAAGTACAAAAATCTTACCTTCTTGTACAAGAAACTTAACATTTCCATATTACTGAAAAGGAACTTCACGAAAAGTAAGAACAAATCGTCAAAAGCAAATCAATATCAATAAACTGATAGTGTTATACCGCCATTTTTTAATTATTGTAAACATAATAATCATCGCTTACTTAGCAATGGTGCCATCGATCAACAGTTACACAAAACAAAAATAGAAACTTCCAGTGATACAATTATAAACAAGAATGCAGATGGTTCTTATAAAAATCCATCAAGTTGCCTATTAATATGGAGAAAAATTGTGTTATTAACGACTACAAAGCATATGTTTGTAATTCAAAAGGAAAGAGAATTTAATTTCACGCTAATATTGATAACAGCAGCATATCCATGGATGCCAACTCTCATTTTCAAATGTCGCTAAGTACACCTGCAAAAGTAGCTATAAAGTCGCTAAATTCAGAAGGAATTTCGCTAAAAGTAATAGTTAATTTTTTTTTAAAGTATAATCCATATTCCATAATAAGTTTTGTTACTCGTCGTATTTTAAACTGAATCTTCATAAAAATATAAATAATGTTCCTGCCCCAATTTTTCTGTGGTCCAGCAAAAAGATATCCGGACCACCGGTTGGCGACCGCTGATCTAGAAAATACATTAGTTTCATTATGCGAATTAAATAAGAACACACTATAAACAACGAAAGAATAAATGTCATTAGAAATGGAGGGAAAAAAAAAAACTAAAATATACCTGACTATGATATCTGTTACTATTGCTGTCATTCTACGCCCTTTTCTTGCAACACCCCCCCCTTCTTTTTTTTTTTTTTTTTCCGCTAATGGTCTGTGATAGTAATTTTTACACCATTCCCAAATAAACATATTTTAAACATTGCTCGGTTAATCCGCCCCGTTTACAGAAAGTTCACTGTATGGATAAAATTCATGCTTTCAAGAATCATTACATATTTCAGCCTGTTTAAAATACGTTTACTTTCTTCATTCCTTACCACAAAATACATCAATGTTCACATATATTTCACACCTCAAAATAAAAACTATTTGGTGGTCATGAATCAATCAAAACAACTGCACAGTAAATAAATAAACGTAACGCTCGAATACGAAAGAATGAAAACACTAAGAGTACCTAAATAGACTTCCGCAGCAGCTCTGCTGACAATGAAAATGATGATAATACGAATGCGCCTGTCAAACTGCCGGTGAATGGCATTGAACTAAGACGTTATCCCGCGCCTGATATACCACGTGTCTACTTCCTGCACGCAACTGGCATGTTGCTTCATGTCCACATTTAATGTCTTCTAGTCGCGTGAATGCCTCTTTCTTCCACAAATATATGAGCGGTATACTTTTTACGCCTAAAAAAAAAAGACTTTTTGAAAGTAATGCTTATTATTAGTATAATTTGTTGTTATATTTGTTATCAATTTTGTTATTATATTAGTAAATAATTTATTAACTTATTACAGTGATATATTGAGCGCTTGATTTATAAAATTGAAGGAGCGGTTCCAAACTTGTTATGCAACTCTAATTTTTCAGCGCAGCAGATGTTACTAATGCAAACTGTATTTTATGTAAAGTACATATAGCATTTCGTGAAATAACTTTTTATTCAAAATTTTTCACTTCAGAATAACTTTAGAATTCATAGCTATTTAAATTAAAATGTCAATGTTACCTTTTTTTGCATGTTCCGTTTTTGCATGCCTCCGTTTAGTATGTGTTACATAAAATATAAAATTACTCATCTTAAACTTGTAAATGAGAAAGAAACTTTTCCTTAAGTTTGAAACAAGAAATGTTTGTTGTATTAGCAAAAGAAGCATTTAAAATATCTGCGTTTTTGAAAGAGTTTAAACACATTCCATTTTCAATCGTGACGAATATCATTTATCCAAATCTATTTTTCTTACTTATGCAATTAACTCCGGATTAACCGTGGGCGAGTTAACCGGGTGGTCGAATGGCTAAACCCTAGAAAAATAAGTTAAATTAATTTAGAGAATGATGCCACACACTACTATCACAAACCTACAGTGGAAATAGAAAAAGAATCATTCGTAGATTAACAACAGTGATAGCAGACGATGTCGTAACATTATTTCATCTACAACAGTGCGTGATTTAATTGTAAATGATTTGAAATATGTAAAAACTGAAAAATTAAGAAGCAAAATATTCTGACGGATTTTTACGTAAATTGTTCATGAGTCGATGATATGTTGTTCAAGGTTTGCTGTAAATATAATTATTCCTTATTGCCGTTTTTATCCCAGTCCCTTCCTTTTCAATGACGCTTATTCTTCCAGTATACACACAGAGAACATTTTTAATACTCATTTAATTTACGTAATTAAATAATTTTTAAAATTGAATTTCTTGAAAATACAGGTAAATTGTGAATATTTTTTGTTTTTTTTTGTTTTATAATATGCGTTCTCTTTCCCATGCTTTTTTACCTACCGTCAACCTATGCACATAACAATATACTTTTTCTACTTTTACTGTGATCTGTCTTATGTATGTGGGGATTTTAAACGATGAACAAATTAATTAACGAAAGACATTTTAATTAGACAAACGATTATTACATAAATTTAACATTTAAGAGAATTAAACAAGTAATGATTCGTCAAAGTTCTTTTTGAACAGAAGCAGCATCTCTGCTCCCACGTCAATCGTCTATCATCTCAAAACGGTAATTTCCCTAATTTTTGCTGGGCGCCTTCGAAGCTCGTAGAGAGAATGACGTCACAGCATCTAGTTTTCATCACAGCTCCAAGCGATCGGCACTACATGTATATATATGTATATGTGTAACAATTTTTTTTTCAGCCACGATATCTCTTATATGAAAATTTTTCATTTTGCGAATTTAAGCTTTTTACAGTAGTATAAATAGTTGACTAGGTTTTAGATAAAATTGGACAATAAGAAGTATTTCTCAATAAGTATTGACTCAGTACCCAGCCATATGCAAATGGAGGTGATCAAGATTCAATGCAACTCAAATTTGAAAGCAAAATTCATTAAAATGGGCGTGCCTGAATTTTACAAATATTTACCAGCCAGGTTTGAAAATACTCGAAAATTCGCATATGAAATTATTTCCATGTTTGGTAGCACTTATCGGTGCGAGCAGTTATTTTCAGTCATGAAAGATAATAAGTCTCCTATTAGAACCATATTATGATGCCACCTTGGGTCAGCGTTGAAAGTTATCACTGCAAACAAAATTTCTCCGAAATAGGAAAGATAACAGCAGAGAAGAGATGTCAAGTATCAGACGTAAACATTAAATTTTTCTTGTTCTTTTCTATATAAATATATATATATATATATATGTTTATTATTGTATTATTCGAAATAAATCTACGTTTCTATGAATATTGATTTTTTTTTCCCCCTCTCGGCCAGCCCAAAAGTTAAACCTTGTTTGTTTGGCCCAAGTGTACCTATGAGTTTAACATCCCTGGATTACGATATATTACATTACGTACAAATTAGGTTAAAAATTAGGTAAACTTCAGCCTTAGAATGATGTTTATTTACGGAAACATTTTATGCATTTCAGAGGATATAAGCTTAGAATCATTTTCTTCCAAGCGCCAAAGAATAACCTTTAATTTTATCCCACATTATTCATTTATTTTATTTTGCATAATAAATAACATATTTCCATTTCTACTCTATGAAGAAGAATAATTTTTTCCCTCAAAAATGAATGCATTTCTACAAACTAAAATCAATATAAGTTTGACATTTGCCTAATTTAAGTTTCCAGTTGTCATGCCTGTCTTTATTCAGTATCCAGTCGAATAATAAGTTTTGCTTTAAGTTAAAATAAAGCAAAGTATCTTCTTATTAACGTATTAGTGAATTTTAAAACAGAGCTTCATTTTTGTTAAAACGGAGCATCGCAATATATACACACATACATAAATTATGACATACTCGTACATGTGTATGTCATAATTTCGAAGCACAGCCGCGATGGTTGAGTGGAAGGACGAGAAGTTGCAACCAAACTATGTTCAGCCAATTAAAAAAATCATCTTTATTTCCAGATTTCTAGGCACACGAGAATAATTCCTAGTAGACATCATCCTCTTTAGACAATCATAACTTGTTTTTAGAATCTACTGTTTTGTGTTTAGAAAAGTTAAATTTCAAGAAAATAAAAATTTGTAACTCTTGTACTAAACGTTTTTTCTTGGCAGAGTAACCAAATATTTTCTTCTAATTTCCTTCATACCTCTCCGTTTATAATTATTGTTTTTTACTAGAAGTAAAATGAATCGGAAGTATATTCATTGGTCTACAATTACATAAAAAAATATTATTTGAATAAATTACAAATCATTATTTAAATGAAAATTGAGTGTTTTTCTTTTAACGCATGAGCAGTCTTTTAGAAAGGTTAAGTTAAGCGAGCAATGGCAACACTGTACGAGAGGGGAACATTTTTATCTTCGAGACTGTGTATCGAAAATTATAAAGATATGCTCATTTTAAAATTATTTTTCGATATTGCTGTTGAGTTGAATTTTATGATTTAAGTGCGAAGAACAGGATATTTAATAAATAAACGTAGCGCACAAAACATTTAAAAAACTCCCCTTTGGGCGTTATGTAAAATCTGAATGCCTTCAGAATTTTTTTTTTTTTTTACACAAGGTACCTGATTAGTACGCAACCCTGTTAAACCGTTTCCATATAATCAGGGGTTGACTATAGGGAGTCTTGCAAAATTCAACAATTTTCGGCAGTTATTTAAAAAAAAAAAATTTAAAAAAGGAAGAAGAAATATCGTAAATTTCAAAGGAAAATTTACATATTTCTAAACCAAAAATACAGAGGTTCAAAATAATTTTATGAATTTAAATTATTTGCACTTTATGGCTTTAAAGAACAGGTAGAATTAAGCTAGAGATAATTTCCAGGGAAACAAAAGCTGTAACAATTATGAGAATTCTAAATCTCTTGAAATAAAGAAGAAAAAATAATGAACGTCGAATAAAAGCTGTAACAATTTATGAGGATTCTAAATTTCTTGAAATAAAGAAGGAAAAATAATGAAAGTCGCGGAATTGCATAGAAATAAATAACTTCGTTCGTTAACACTAAATAAAATTTTACAAATAACATAATAAGAACCATATAAGTAAGCCCATATATTACATGAATTGTTTAAAATTTAAATTTATTAATAAGTATTTAAATAATATAGTATAATATTTTTAAATAACAGATACAGCCAGGTTATGAGATTTTTCCCAGGGAAACAAACGCTGTAAAAGTTAATGAGAATTCAACATTTCTTAAACAAAAATAAAAAGAAAAAAAAAATTGGTGAACGTTGCTGAATTACATAAAAATATATAACTGCATTCGCTGATACTAAATAAAGAGTAACAAATAACATAAGAAGCATATAAGTAAGCCCTATGTTGCATAAATGGTTTAAAATTTAAACTTATTTAAACTGGCAGCAATAGTTGATGTGATACAACTTCTTCCTAAAGAAATGCAAAAACTTAAGCCCACTTTCCTCTGAACAATTTTAAACTGCGAACACATTAACAGGTAGTAAATTAATATCACATCTGAATTTAGTCAAAAATGAATTTTCTTCATTAAACAAAATAAAAATCATCTCTTCGTTCTGTACGTTATTAATAATATCTCTACTATAAACTTTCGTTTAAACACAGTTTGAAAACTAAATATTTGAAAAGAAAATAATTATCACATCTGAATTTAGTCAAAAATGAATTTTCTTCCTTAAACAAAATAAAACTCATCTTTCGTTCTATACGTTATTAATAATATTTCTACTATAAACTTTCGTTTAAAGAAAGTTTACTAAATATTCGAAAAGAAAATAATTAATATCACATCTGAATTTAGTCAAAAATGAATTTTCTTCGTTAAACAAAATAAAAATCATCTCTTCGTTCTATACGTTATTAATATTTCTACTATACACTTTCGTTTAAGCACAGTTTGAATACTAAATATTCGAAAAGAAAATCTGAATAAGCATAAGAAAAGTGTTTTATGAGAATTTCGCTCAATTTTCTAATTGCATATTATCAAGAAAGAATCATTTATTAACTAACACTAAATAAAATTTTCACATACAAGTGTGGAAAGCATCTATTCAATTTCACTTTGATTCTCATTTTATTTAAAAACATTTTTAATAATTTATACTAATTCTAAGCACCCAAATTTTACACGCAACTAATTTCACAGGTAGACCTAAACTTTACACATACTTTTTGCATCTAAATTTTACATTTATTTGTTACAAAAGTGAACAATAATACAATTTACTTGTCCTATGTATTTC